CCCTCCCTGCATCCCTGTGTGCCAGCCCCACACCTCTAGGTGTCTTCTCTGCATCTGTGCCCTCTCTGCACCTCTGTGCCCACCCCGCACCTCTGGGTGCCCTCTCTGCATCTGTGCCCTCCCCACATTCCTGTGTGCCCACCTCGCACCTCTGGGCCCTCTCTGCATCTGTGCCCTCCCAGCACCTCTGTGCCCTCTCCGCATCCCTCTGTGCCCTCTCTGCACCTCTGTGCCCACCCCGCACCTCTGGGTGCTCTCTGCATCTGTGCCCTCCCTGCATCTCTGGGTGCCCACCCTACACCTCTGGGTATCTTCCCTGCTTCTGTGCCTCCCTGCATCTCTGGGTGCCCACCCCACACCTGTGGGTATCTTCCCTGCTTCTGTGCCCTCCCTGCATCTCTGGGTGCCCACCCCACACACTTCGCCCCAGCCACACTGGCCCTGAATCCCAGCCCCACTGTCCGACCCCGAGTCCACCCCCTGTCCTTGTCACCCACCCTCCCAGCCTTTCCCTCGATGCCCAGCACCATCACTGTGCCCCTGGACCCCCAGCCCCATCACCCTGCTCTCTGCGCCCCAGAATCATCACTCTGTTCCCTGGCCCCCGACCCACCCTGCCCACCCTCCTCCCTGACCCCCCGTCCATCACCTTGCCCCTGAGTCCCAAATCCATCGCCCTGCCCTTGATCCCCAGCCCATCCTGCCCATCCTGCTCTTCGACCCCAACCCCACCCCAGCCTGTCCTTGTCACCCTGCTCCTGATTCCCCACCTGCCCTGCCCACTCTGTGCCCACCCTCACCATCCCACCCTCGGCCCTGCCGCCTCAGTGCCCTCCCTGCCTGCAGGGAGCTCTGGTAACGCCGTGTTCTCCTTAAATCCCTCCCTTCCCTGTCTCATTATCCCTTAGCTTGTTGAACAGAAACAAAGCACCAAAACACGAGCTGAATAATCCCCGGCTGAGCCCAGCTCAGCAAACCGCCCCGAGGGCAGCCCTGTCACTCTGGAGGGCCCGGGGTGCCTGTCCCAGCTTGTCCTCCCCCAGATCACCCCGGGGGCACTGACAGCAGAGGTTCCAGCACAAGAGAACAGTGCCTGCAGTGCAGGATTCCCTGGCTGTGCGGGCAGATCTGCAAACCCAGCGTTGTTTCTGTGCCAGGGTCTCCTGGCACCATGCAGCTCCCTTGGAGAAGGTGTTCTGTGCCCAGAGGTGGCACTGGAAGGCCGGGTTTAGCTCTGGCATTGCTGCTGTCCCGCTGGGAGTTTATTTTTGGTGCCTCTTTCAGGGCTGTCTGCTCCCTGCTCTGGTGTTTTTTGAGTGTAGAGACCAGTCTGGGTGTGTTTCTTTTTATTGTGTGATTTCAATTAAAACACCAGCAGAAAGGACAGGAACAGCTGCCAGAGGAGCTGAGTGTTTTACCATGAGTGCAACAAGTGAAAGTGGTTTTTCAGAAGAAATAAATTCTTTATCATTTCCTGTCCTAAAAATCCCTCATTAGGTAGTGACTGGTGATTTCTGGCTGGTTTTGGCTGGATTAAACACACCCTAAATTCTTGTTTGAAATAAATAGGGGCTGTACATGAGCAGAATAAAGAGATAATCTAGGCTTTGTAAGAAAACAGTAATTTTATTCGTGTTTTGTTGAGCTCTCTGAATAACCACCCACATATTTCCATTGTTTTATTCCTGGGCTTCATCTGCCAGATGAAACACTTCCCACATTTATTTTCAGGTCCTGAGAGAGGCAAATATGTCAGGAATTTAAATGAGTCCAACAGCAGCACCAGATGGAGCTTGGTATTGGGAAAGCTGGAAGGGGGGCAGGGGAAGAAGGAGATAGAGAAGAATAAACATGTGGTTTTAAAATATTATCAACAGCAAGATTTTCATGAGTGTCTGCTTGTCCCAGGCTGGAATAGCAGGTGTTGAAGAGGGCTGTGAGTGTGACTGCAAACAGAGACTAAAAATTAGTCATGTTAAGTCTAAAACTGTTCTCCACATAGAGCGCACTGAAAAGCTGCTGAATTTGCTGTTTGCTCTGAGATTCTCCCTCCTTGCAAAGTGTTTTTCCACAAATTCTTCCAGGAAAGCCCAAGGTGTACCAAGGTGTGAGGGTGAAGATCACAGTCAAGGAGTTGCTGCAGCAGAGGAGAGCACGACAAGCAGCCACTGGTTCAGCAGTGAGTAAAATATTGTGGTGTTGGCTTTGTACCTTCTCTTTTAATGGGGTTTTTTTTTTGCCAAGACTGTAATTTCTGGGCCAAAATCTGAGTAGCACAGGCTGGTGAGGATGGGGGAAAGGAACATTTAGTCAGGGCAGCTGCAGCAGTGACCTAAAGGAGTGAGAATGTGAGGAATACAGGGAGAAAGCAGAGCTGCTGCTCCAGAACAGTCACTCCCTCCGGGACAGAAGCACACCTGGGCAGCCCCATCCCTTCTGGAGGAGGGGCTGGAGCTCTGTGTGCACACACACCTGCACATTCCCTCTCATTCCCTCTCCCAGCCTTTGTAGGATTCCTCCAGCTCCAGCCACTCAGGGGATTTGCATAAAGAGCTTGGCAAGCCGTTATTTCTTCCTGGTTCATGACATTGCAGCTCTTGGAGCCTTTCAGATTTCAGCTTCTGCACTTTGTTGCGGCCGATTGCACAAAAATCAGCCTGAGATCCAGGGGCAGAGAGGTCTGGGTGAGGAGAATTGTCAGGTTTTGGAAACCCTGGGTCACTCACTGCTCCCCTGCAGCCCCAAGAGCAGCAGCCTCTCCATCACAGCCAGGTGTCCCAGGGCTGCGAGGAACCGGTTTTCACTTCCCACCAGCACTTCACACAACCCCTGTGGTGCCCACACAGGAAAAAGTGAAAAGTGGCGGTGAGGGAAGTCACCTCGGTGACCTGCTCAAGGTATGGCCCGCCCCAAAAGCCCCGAGGCTTTGGGCTGGCAGGATGTGCGCTGAGAAAAGCTCAGCCTGGGGACTCCATCGCTGCCCTGTCACGTCTGCAGCAGGGACAAAAGGCACCCCCGGCCCAGAGGAGTCACTGTTTCAGCAATTAAATGCACGGGATGTGCCAGGAAGTTGTTGCCAGGGAAATGAGCTGCTCGCTCGAGAGCATCTTGAATAAAGGAAATGAAGTGGAGGGCTGGATGACTTAAATCGGAGAGGGAAATCCCACCAGTGTTTGTACTTGCAGAGTAAAATCCTGGCCCCCAAGCAGAAAACTCCCGTTGCTTTTGGGGTGGGTTTCTTCCTTCCAGCAGGTCAGGTTCTTAGAAGTGGTTGATCTGTCTTGCTTCAGCTTCCAGCAATCCTTAAAAACGAAGCTGTGCCTTTTCAGGGAGCACTGCCAGAGCTGCTTCTCAAACATCAATCCAGTCTGCTGGGACACCTGCAGTGGTCAGTAGTTAATGGCTTATTCCCAGTAATATCCATCCCTAGGAATTCCTTGGGATTCCCTCCACGGTGGAATTCACGCTCCTGGAAATTAACACACATTAATTTCAGAGGCAGCTCTGTAGAATGGGGAATGCAGCAAAAAGAGCAAAAAGAGCAAAAAAACCCCTTAGCTCCGAGCTGATTCAGGGGCTTCACCCCAGGTGGGTGCTGTGCCCAGCAAAAATCCTGTTATGCACATTCATCTAATGTTCTGTCAGTGCCAGGGAGGTTTTCCCAGGCACAGCCAGGAGGGCAATAAGGTTTATTTCAAGAGTTCTCTCGGAAATCCAGACTCACCTCGCTCTGTGCCGCAGCTCCTCTCCTCCCTTCTCTTTGCTCAGGTTCCCTGGGACAGCAGCAGCAGCAGCAGCAGCAGCAGCAGCCAGTTTGCAGAGCCTGTGTCTCCGCCTCACCCAGGTCGGTACAAAGCCCATCCACACGGCCCTTCCCGCCCCATTCCCAATTTTTCCCACCGCCCAGAGCCTTCCCAGCCCTGTTTGAGGCCGGGGGTGCGGCCAATCAGCACCGGCAGGGAGCCCGCGGGCTGCAGATGAGGAGCTCCGAGCTCCTTTCCCACCTTATCCTTCCCCCAGCAGGGAATTCCACCCCTTCGGGAAGGGATGCTCATCCCGAGGGAATAACATCGCCCTCCCCAGGCTCTGGGGCCACTGAGGGTCACAGTGCCCCGGAGCCCCTGGCTGGGCTCTGTTCTCTCCTGCCAGCATCCCCAGGAGTGAGAGAAATACCAGATTTTCAACACCACCAAGAGTTTCCTCCTCCTGCCCGCGAATATCCAAGGAAAAGGGGGACGGGGTGAGGGGAGGGGCACTTTGGGCTCGCAGATCCTTCAGTTGTCCCCAGCCAAAGCACAGAGGAGAGGCTGGGCAGGCGTGAGGGCACGCATTGCATGGACAAGGAAATTGTTAAATCATCGATAGCTGGGAATCCATTTGCTTATGTTAATAAAGAAATGTGAGACATGCCAAAGCTGACATGCCAAAGCCTTTTCAGGCTGGAAGGTGTCCATCAGTTTATGTATTTTGGGTGTTCCTCACTCCCCAGAGCCAGCTAAGCACTGCCACCTTTGACCCTGCAATGTGCACTTCACGTGGACAGGGCTTAAACCATGTTTGAGCTTGGTGTGAAAAGATAATAATTCTGAAAAGCCAGATCTGCTGTCAGCTTTCCAGGAACTCAGCCTTTGGCCAGCAGCACTTCGTGGTCACCATGCCACATCAGCCCTGCCTTGCTCCATTTGTTCTGCTCCTCTCTGGCTCTTTGGAGGATAAAAAAGCAAATTATCTTCCTGTTATCCCCTTTTTCCTGCAGGTGTAGCTGCCCCAGGTCTGGAGACGAGGCAGAGGCACATCTGCCAGGCTGGAAATCACTGCCTGGCACCTCCTGGGGCTGCAAACAGGGCACAGAAGGGAGGCCAGAGGGTCAAGAGTCTGAGGGAGTTTCCAGCTGGATCCCTGTCCAAAATGCCTGGGGCCAGGAGAGTTTCCAGTGTTTAAAGAGGTTTATAGCTGAGAGGGCTGCCTTCCCTGAGTTATTCACGTGTTTTGGAACATCTCCCTTGTGGTTTCTGCTTTCCTACAAATCCACCTTGCCCTTGAGAGGCGTGTTTAATGCCTGAATTCACTGCGTTACTGAGCATAGGAGAGCACTGAAACCTGCCCTTTGTGAAGACAGACACTGATTCATTTGCTGCTGTCTGCTCTCCTTTCTCTCCTAGAGCCCTTTGAAGCAGAACCCATCCCTCCTGTGCCCAGCTGCTGCCCACCCTGGCAGTTTTCCAGCTGCCTGTCCTGTGAGGAAAGCCCTGGATACCTGGAGCAGCTGATAGATTCCTGCCTGCAGTCAGATGCAGCCTCTGAGGCAGCCTTCAGTGCCTTCCAGCCATCCCCACACTACACCCCAGACACCTTCCAGCCAGTCCAGCTCTGCTTCAACCAGGGCCTGGTGAGCTTTGGGAGCCAGGGGAGCAGCCACAGGTGTCCCCAGGGGGAGAGGGAGTCACCTCGTGGGGCAGAGCAGCAGCAGTGTGGGAATTTGGGGCTGCTTTTGGGAGCTTGGGATGCTCATGGGCTCTGAATGCTTTCCCATGGGGAGCACAAAATAAACTGGGAGAGGCTGCAGGATGGGGAATGTCCTTTCTAGAGGTCCTGCAGATTTTGT